TTTTACTGAATTATGAGGCTATCCTCACATAAAATACGTCCAGGGACTGAAGAAGGCAAAGTCGCCGAAATGTTAGCCATCGGACAACCACAAAAACAATGAAAGTACTACCACATCAGGTCATGATATGGAATTGATAACGGAAAAGTTCTATACCAATCTTTTTCGTTCCACAACCCCGTCTCTTAGCGATGATGAAGAGAGGCCCAACTCCAGGACCCGATAATATCACCGCTGACTCCCTTCAGTCTGGAGGCCACAAATTACATGACCTTTTCAAAATGCCCTATGACATTCTAGCTTCAGAAGGAGAAGATTCTAGATCAGAGGAGGACGTCACGCCTGGTTATCTCACTCAATTGTGACAGAAAGAATCTTCTAACTGCCGTCCAGTATTTTTTCTGAGTGTACTTCGCATGCTGTTCACGAAGGTTATCCTATTGCACATATCAAGGACATGGGAGGAGGCAAAATCAGTTGAGCAAGTAGGATTCCGACAGGGTTCATGCTGCATCGATCACATTTGTGCAGTTTCATGGATCTTGAAAGTTTGTCGTGAGTGCCATCTCCTTCTTTTCCTAACCTTTATCACTTACCAAAAACCGTTTGACAGCAACGAAAAGAATGCAATTCTACCAGCACTCGTCGACCAAGGAGTGAAGCCGTCTCATATATAAACCCTAGCTAGCTGTTATAAGAACTGCAGCATAAAAATACAGCTTTTTCCATCGACACGTCCATACGCATAGAAAAGGGTTTCATGAGGTTCGACCAAGCGGTACAGTTTAGGCAAAGCTATTAATTGCAACATCGCTATGAATAATGAAGTCACTCGATTGGGAATAGAACAGCATATATATTGACGAAAAATTGCTATCATATCATCGCTCCGCTGACGGCATCGTCAGATTTTCAGGAAGTACCAACGAAGCAGAGACGATGATCAATGAGCGCACCGAGGCGGGAAAAAAGACTAGACTGCACATAAATTGCTTTTCTGATTACAGATACGCTTCATCATACGTGCACCTTAGACGTCCCATGAACATTGAACAGCACCAAGGAAGAATTAGGCAGAAGAAGGAAAGCACCATGGGCCGCATGCGAACCTGTTATAGAAGCCACCGATCTACTTGACGGACCAACACCTCAACGCTGACATTTCCGACTCTGGTGTCCTCCCAATGCTCCGTCATTCAGATTAGACGTAGGCTGATACTTCAACCACGTCAAGATCTTTGCGCACCACCCACGGAGAGTTTGAACGATATCTTTTTAAATTTAACCACCACTAACAACGTTAACTGTGCGTCTTCGCTCTTCGTTTTCTTCTCACTCTGAGCGACTTCAATACAGATTGCAGTTCTACGGTGAATATCTTTGGCGGGATGATGCACACTAGTTCATGTTAAAACGATAGTGAGAAGATGGATGATCTATTTCGTTTTGCTTTTTATGTTGTTCACCATGACAGGCCGGTCTTCTTATCGAAAGCGGTTAGACTTTTTCAAACATCTCAAAGGCTTTTCACAATTCGCACAGATTAGGCTAGGAAAGAAGAGGTAGCTCCGTCGAAATTCTGTCACCGTATCTATGATTTAGACGTTCTCCATATAACAGCAGCCCACCCAAACCCCTCTTTGCTCATCTGAATGAGTTTAACTCCTATAGTTTTGTTTCAAATGCACGACATGATGATAATAGTGAAGGGCGCAAGGTAGCTATGTTCAGTCTGCGATTCTTTCCTTTCTTGGATAGACGTTGTCATGTGTGAGTGCAGTTCGTGACCCCAGATCTCTATATTGTTCCCATAGAAACTGATCTGATAGAGCCAAACTATCTGACTGTATCCGCTCACTACCGCGTTATAGTGTACAATTAAAGCACAAACACACAAGCACATTCGTTGGAATTTTTCATGGACCCCTCGTTTTGCTAACGACAACGGTGTACTTCCGAGAGGAATCAAGAAAACGGGGACGATGAGCTGAAGAAGTGCAGGATTCAGATATCAGAAGGGATACCCAGCTACAGAAAAGGTAGGAGAAGGGGAAAGAAGCACATTCGTTGGAATTTTTCATGGACCCCTCGTTCAGTTCTTGACTACGTGAAAAATCGATGTGTAGTGGACATGTGACGTTAAACTCAAATGAAGTTCTCTGTACTGGATTACTTGGTCCTCCAATGCAGTGTTATGTTACGGTACCAGGATTCCAGGAAGCCAAAAAGCTGTCAATGTTGCTGGAATGGTTATGCATAGTTCTTTCGAGTTACGGCATATATTCGTCATGTGTTGTAGGTACCGGCTCTTAAGTATGGTCCTATTTGAAGTGGATCTCAATATAACATCTACGTTCTTATCATTAGGTCGCCATTGCTGCCAACTGGTTTCTACTCGTTCAGGAATCGCGAATAACATCATAGTTCCTTTCCATGGTCGTTCTCTGAATCGCATCAGTATCTCGTCTACATTCATTACAACATACTGTAGTTCTCGCGCTTCGTTGATTCATAGGCGTCGATATTACAACAACATTAGTTCGTTTTGTTCAAAGTCTGAACAAGAAAGATAGAACATCGTACTAACCACGTCAAGTAGTGCTGGCCATACCTCTCCCATTTGGTGCACAGGTCTTTGATAAATATGGAGACGTCATGGAATAACCAAGGTGTGGAGAGATTGGCGGGGACCTTGGGTTTGCTTTTCCAGGATGTGAAGAAGGTTGATGGTGACCTTGGATTTGCTGTCCCAGGAAGTGGAAGGGATTGACGGTGACCTTGAATTTGCTGTCCCATGATGTGGAACGGGTTGGCGGTGAACTTGGGCTTGATATATTCTTCACAACAGCGTCATATTGTTGTGTTTAGCCTCTGTCCAAAATTCCTTGTTGGCTTGAACTTGTTCCTTGGGTAGAGGTGTAACGAATAGATCCGTTTCTGGTACAACTCGTTTTCGTTGTGTTATTAATTTTTGGCGTGATTTATTCCCACGATTTCGGTTAAAATGCGCAAAATAACGGTTCCTTAAACTTTTCTTGATAAATAAGACTTTATACTAACATATTTGTCTTGGTTAGTACCAATGATGACGTTCGGAAATCCATAATAGCTAGGTTTGGTTTCTGCTTGTCAACCTTCGTTTGCTGTACTCGCTTCTCCTCGCGCATTTCCATCGTGGTACGGTAGACTACACCTACCTCCATTTCAGAAGATGATTGAGATATTCCTTCAAAATAGCTTATTGAGTTAAACATTTAGACTGAAAGCGAATTCGCCTTATAGGGCAATAAAGGGATAAAGCTCTAGGCGTTGACCAATACCTGAGGGATGCACCATGCATTCGACTCCACTAGGCATAGTTTGGAGGTGATTTAATGCATATCTGGCCTTTACAATGACTCGCAAAAGTCTACGATGTATCGAGCCAGTGCTGCTATCCTCCCTATCCTCCCAGCAAGTCCGGTACCAATTTGCCGACCGCGGGGGGACGGAATGCTCGGTGAGCCACGGGCACAGGGATCGATCCCGTGTTTCTGGCAGGGCGCCTCCGACCACTGGGTCACACGCGCCACTTAAAGGGTAAACACCATTAATGATTGACTGTACGTTTTATGTAGCATTGTAACATCGTAATCATTGATAAGGCGATACCATTCTTGACCACCATCAACTGGTTATATTGGATTCGCTTGTATCTATGTCGGTCGTTCTTTAGCCATCATTTCTTTAGAGCGTTCGACACTAACAATATCATTTCGTTAGCAACTGTTTGGACAAGGCAGGCTCTATAATTTCATAAATGAAGAATATGACACTTAGTTACCACTTGGGTGCTTGGATGGCCCGTTTTCACTGGTTGTGCTGACCCAGCATAATTTCCACTTTTTCGGAGTTTTGCTAGTTTAGCCATTGTGATGCCCTGAAGTCCCGAGATCGGCCTAACCAAAGTATGCCCCAGGTCGTCAGCAACACTAGTACTCACCGCCCTAGTGGATTAAAGCGAGATTTGCCACCATGCGACTAGTTTGATAGCAGGATGGTGGAGTATCCTGGTATAGCTGGGGTCCTGATGGACACGTCGGGCTCCCTCTCAGCTTGGAAGACCCTGCGGTGGGGATGAATGCCCCTGCTGTAGATTGCAGCCCAACACTTAGGAACACCTCCCACACACGATGAGACGGTAAACTGTTGGAAGGAAGAATATGATAGTCAAACCTAAGTCCCTGATTATCAATGTTGATTTGAAATCACATTCTCCCTTACTTTTTCGTTGTCTGTTCCACTAAAATAATCATGGATGACAATTCCTGAGCCATTAACTTGAAGCACGACTGAATATCATGCTCTAATTGGAAAACTCAAGCCAATGAGAGGTCAGAGCATTGAGAAAAGAGCAGGTTTAACACCGCTGGCTATTCCTTCACAATTTTCCCATGCAAGGTATTTTTACGAGTTCTTGCATAGTTTGACCGGTTATTCTTTGCAGGTTATTAAGCTCGATGGTTCTGTCGGCGTGAGGTTTCAATACCACTTTTGCAGTTTAACCCGTGATCGCCGTATATCATGATAGTTGGTAATGTCCATTTCTTATCTAATTACGTTCCAGTAGAGTTGAGGTTCAATATACTTGACAGACAAGCTTCCTAGTTTGGGGTAGAATAGCTTGCGGACATTTGTTCACACGCTTAACTTTGACCTATGACCGGATACTGAGGAAAAGTCTTCCATGGTAATTTCTTCCTCTAACCGGCCATTAGTGTGACTTTCTAACTGTAACAGTGGTTATCTCAATGAAAGTCTGGTATTAAAGCGACCATTACAAAGTATGATGTGACAATTTCTCCGAATAACAAAAAAATCTTTCCAAGGTGCCTCTGTCTATAATTGCAGTGGTTTTTTTCGTTTGTGACCTTAACGAGTTTTTCACTGCAAATAGCATTTTCTAGCCATAGGCCAGAACTAGTGTGTTAAGACAGTTACTTAGGAAATGATGTTACTTTATGCCAGTCTTTCGAATAGTTTTAACGTATCCAAAAGAGTTATGTTTTCAGTGTTGTGCTGTTGGATGTATAACGAATCGATGGAGTTCTTTAGTCCATTGTTTCCTTGATAACTCTAAAAATTTAGATGCCTCCAACGAACAAGTTGGCGTTCCCAACGTCATAGCCTTAGTTGGCTTGCCTGCGAGAGGGAAGACATATATATCTCATAAGTTATGTCGGTATTTGAATTGGATCGGCATTACGACGAAAGGTCAGCGTGAAGATATCGGTTTTACTTCTTTTGGTTCAATATTCGCATACCAAAGAGGATAAAAAGGATAAGGGATAAAGCTCTCGGCTTTGATCAATCCCTGAGGATTGAGCCATGCATTCAACCTCAATAGGCATCGTTGGATTTGACTGAAGGGATATCTTGCCTTCACAATGACTCGAGGTGACCTACTGATGAAACTAGCCAGTCCTGCTATCCTACTAGACAAGTCTGGTATCAGTTTCCTGACCCGGAGGGATGGAAGGTTTGGTGAGCCACGAGCGCAGGGATTGATTCCATGTGTGTATTGCGGGGCCCCTCCGACTACTGCGCTACACGCGCCCCACAAATACGTTATGGAAAAGATTATTCTTGTAGATGTGAATGCTTGATGGCTCTAGAAATTATTAACGCAACATACTGCTGAGTGGGATTTTATAGCAAGATGTTTTGCTCTGTGTGATAATCCTAATCTGAATTATTTTCCGAGCGTATCCTTAATTTAGTAACAAGTACGAGTCCGGCTCAGGGTCCATAAAATTCGCTCACCGACATTTATTGAGAACAGAAATGCCCAAGTAGCAACCGGAATCACACGAAAATGAGGGGACATTACTGAAATATGCATGCCAGGAAAGCGGTTGAATGAAAGTACTGTGGTTCGTGCAACATATGGTGTGTGGTTGGGTACGTGTAGCACAGTGTTCAGAGGCACTCTACAATACACATGGAGTCGATCTTCGCGCCCAAGCTCACCAAGCCTTCCATCCTTCCGGAGCCGGCAAGCTAGTACCAGACTTTTCTGGGAGGATAGCAGCATTGGCTCTATACATCGGTGGACCTCCGTGAGTCATTGTAACCTTCAGATATGCATGCATTCATCTCGAACGGTGGTTAATGAAGTCGAACGCATGGTGCATCCTTCAGGGATCAGTACCGAGTTATTTTTATGTAAATATGTATATATATATATGTATACATATGTAGCATTCAACGTTGGGGACTACCGTCGGAAGGCATTTGACTACGAAGTCGAAGGAGAGCATGATTTCTTCAGCCCGCACAATGTGATCGGCACAAGGATCAGAGAGTCAGTTGAAATTATCATCCTTGAACTTTGTTCTTAAATCATTTAAAAGATCTGCTAGCGTCTTATTCTAGCGAATGTGCTCGGTTAGCTATCGAGGACATAGGGAGGTACTTAGAAGCCAAGGAAGGTGAAGTGGCTGTGAGTCACGACGGTTCTTTACCTCTGTATTTCTTCTTCTAAACTAGTTGTTTGAAATCTGTTATTTACTGCAGGGTTTCAAATACAGTTATTTTGTTTCTCAGATCTTGGATGCAACCAACACTACTCGTGCTCGTAGGCGTTTCCTCATGGACTTTTGCAAGCGTCCACAACTTCATACCGCATTCCGAGTGTTCTTCATTGAGAGCGTTTGTGATGATCCTGATATCATTAACTCTAATATCACGGTATGTGTTTTCTAAACTGTGTATTTGGATCTGTGTTGTACACACCACTTTTCTTTCTTCACTGGTTACTTCAGGTGTCACATGACCTCCGAAGAATTGCTTTATTTAACACTCAAGGACCTAAATGAGATGGTTATCGACCACATGTAGCGAAATAACAGCCTTTTTGAGATTTGAGCCCATATATCTCAGCTCAAAGTGAACCTTGCTGACTGAAATAGAAACCATTACTAAGATACTTGGATATTCGGATAGCACCCGTTTTCACTGGTTGTGTGGGACCAGTATAACTATCATTTTTTCGGAATTTCGCTGGTTTAGCTACTGTGATGTCCTGGAGTCCCGACGTCAGCCTAGTCGAAGTCTGCCCAGGTCGTCGCCACCATAGGCAATCGCCGCCGTTGTGGATCAGAGGGAGACATGCCGCTATACGACTAGTTTGATGCCAGGACGGTGGTGGATCCTGGTGTTGGTTTATTCTTAGCTAGGCTTCCTGGTGGAAACAGCGGATTCCTTTTCAGCCTGGGAGACTGCTGAGGGGATGAATCCATTCGCTGTACATCGCAACCCGACACCCAGACACCTCTACCAGCCACGACGAGGCGGTAAACCGTTGGGTGGAATAGAACTGTTTAGAGTGGAATCTTAATAGAAACCATTAGAATCGACGAGTTTTCACCACTAACATGCGAAATTTGTTATCCTACCAATGTGGAATCCTGACTTTTGTGAAGCCCAAGAGTCGCACTTTTGTCGCATTTTTTCCGTCGTTGCTCCTGTTTCGAAAATGAAGCCAGTTAACAACTGATGTTTTATCCATAAGAATTCAGTAAAACCCTAAAAAGTTTGCTGATCTTTACGACGGCTGACGTTTCGTTTTGAACTTTAAAGACCTGAGTTTCGTTTCTTTTTAGAAATTTTGATTATAAAATACTTTAAAAATCAGTGGTTTGAAGGAGTCATACTTACTATTAAATGGAGCTTAGTCTCTTCCACAAATCGACCACATTTTCATCGCATCAAGTGTTCTAGTTATCAAAAAATTACCAGCAGTTTTCGATGAGCCAGCTTCGGATCCTAAGTGTTTATGAAACTCTGCGTTTCAGGAAGTTAAGATCAACTCTCCTGACTACAAAGGAAAAATGAGCGAAGACAAGGCTAAAGAGGATTTCCTGAAGCGAATAGAGAATTACAAATTACAATATGAATCAATTGATGAGGAAATAGACGACGAGCTATCCTTTATCAAGGTGAGGAATATCCATCAAGTGCCTTTAAGCAAAAAGCTTTGTGAGCCATTCACCGGAGCTATAGCGATAGTGTGGTGTTTTCTTTATTGTTTCATTGATTTTATTCATAACCGTCTTAGTTAAATTATGGCTGCTGTAGAAAGGCCGCGCGTAGCGCAGTTGTCGGAGGCGCCCTGCAATACACACGGGATCGGTCCTTGCGCTTCAGGCCTACCAAGCCCTCCATCTCTCCGAGGTTGGCAAATTGGGACCAGACCTGTCTGGGAGTATAGCAGCACTGGCTAGATACATCGATAGGCCACCGCGAGTCATTGTGAAGGCCAGATATGCATTCAGTCATCTTCGATGAGGCGTAATGAAGTCGAATGCATGGCGCATCCCTCAGAGGTAGATCAACGCCGACAGCTTTTTTAGCTTTTATGGACGTGCTATATACACGGAAGGTTTTTTAGCAATGTTCAGTCTGTAGATGTATTGAATGTGCGGTTAGTTTCGTCCTCCAAACTTTTGGGACCCGTTCAATCAAGTTTTTGTGTTTGGTAAAGGCTTACGCTTATTAGAGACCACTGGTAATTTCCTTCGTTTTGTTCGAATACGGAGGAAGAAATATCACATCCGATTCCCTATGCTTTGGTAATAGGGTCGTAATCGCGCAGTATGTTATTCAGCACTTTGCATATACCATGATATGATGTGCTTATTTAGGTTATAAATGCAGGGAAGTCGTTCTACGTTCATAATGTGAAAGGTCACATTCAGAGCAGAGTTGTATATTTTCTAATGAACATTCATCTACTTCCTCGAAGCATTTATTTAACGCGGGTGCGTTATTTCATTGGTTTTTCAACTACAACAACATCAACTAAACATATTTTAGCCCATAGTGAAATTTACTGGTAGGAATAGAAGGTATTAGAGTCTGTATGTAGATAGGAGATACAACGAATACAGTTACACCTACATATATGTTCTTAGGAGCCCGTTTTTTACCTGACGCGAGATTGGTGTAGATCTTTTTTTGTCGTTGTTCAGTGGCTGACGTTTTGACGACTTCGCCTTCCTTAGAGCCGTGGTGTTGGACTACCCATGTGTTGTGAGCATGATGAACTCGTCATCCCTCGTGAACAACATATGAGTGGTCCAACAGCATGGATCTCACGATGGCAAAATGGTCGGAACGTCAACCATTGAACAGCGACAACTACAACAATAAGATCTATACCAGTCTCGTGTCGGCTGAAAGAAGGCAATTTATGAGAACATTTATATAGAAACATCGATTACTATGCCTAGGTTTATAGAAAGTCGATCTTTTTTGTTACACGTGCAGTATTTAATTGTCCATCCGTTGCACTTCGTTAAATTCTAATTCTTGTGAGCCTATAAAACATCATTTTTTGAGCCTTCTTGTAGTAGTTCATGTTTTAAATAGTGGAGCGACAAACAAAGAGGATTTATTCTAGACGGACACGGTGTTCCGAGCTTGTGTTTTAGGTTTTGCTTTCAGTTTCCTCAGTTTGAAACTCCAACAAATACGGAACTAAAATTACGTTTCACAAAGGTTCTGTATCAACTCAGTTATAAGGCAAAAGTCTGTTCTATAATTATATAGTATTCTATATTTACCAGATGCACTAGTTATCGGAATATCCTCTCGCAATTATCGATAGACGGGCATTGTTTTTTACTTATTATTGAATAATAGTAGGTTTTTAATTAAGCATTCTTGGTGAAATGCTTAATTATCGCAGAAGGTCAGCTATTTGTTTAAGCATGGCGAGAGCGAATATAACCGAATCGGGCGGCTGGGTGGCGATAGTCCTTTAAGCGCAAATGGCCTTCTCTATGCGGAGAATCTCAAGGACTACTTTATGGTTTGTCTCTTATGGGTAGTTTGATGTGCTTCACTAAGCTTCTTACTCTTTTCTCATATACGTTATATATGGCCTTATTTGTGGTGATGAAGAACCTTCTAGAAGGAATCTCTCAAGGACCTAAGAGTGTGGTCATCACAAAAGATCCGCGCCGTCCAAACAGCGTCAAAAATGCAGGAACTCGCAGCTCATGTGGAATACTGGAAAGTGCTTGACGAAATTGATGCGGTCAGTTGACATGGCTTATGAGACTTGCACCATCTGCTCTAATAGGGCATGAATATCAGTGTTCAACTGAATGTTCATGCATATCTGTGCTCAAGTGAATGTATTTAAGGGAATTTGTGAAGGACTGACGTATGAAGATTTCGAAGTGAGGTATCCTAAGCAGTTCGCTGAGCGCGATAAGGATAAGTATCATTATAGGTATCCCAGTGGCGAAGTAAGCTTCTAATTTGCATTTTAATTTCTACAACATAATTGCTGTTTATTGCCCTCAAGTGTTCCTAGTTGTCGTTATTACTGTTGTAATTATTACTACCGTTATTATCATTATTGTTATTGTTATTATTGTTAGGGCGCGTGTAGCGCAGTGATCGAATGCTTCTTGCAATATTTGGTTTTACTATTACTATCATAATTATTATTATTAATCATTAATCACTGTTCTTCTAGAGTTACGAAGACTTAGTTGCGCGACTTGAGCCAGTGATAATGGAGCTTGAACGTCAATCCGATGTTCTTGTTATCTCCCATCAGGTGAGAATAAATCTTGTGCGTTTTCTCGTGGAGTTCTGTGGATACACTAGGGAGCTGTCAGAAGTTTATTTACTGTTTTTTATTTCTTGTCCTCTCATTTTCAGATTTTTTTAGGCTGTCCTTCGCTGCATTCTGGCGTATTTCACGAATAAAAATCGTGAAGAGTTGCCTTATCTGAAAGTTCCTCTTCACACAGTAATAAAACTTACACCGAAGGCGTACTCTTGTGATGTTGAAATGTTCAAGTTCGACATTGAAGCCGTCAATACTTATCGTGAGAAGCCTGGCCATCCGGTTAGTTGTTCCGTATTATTCCATATAGTTAATTGAGCTTTGGTTGGAGTTTAATATATTTTCCTGATAAGGAATTACCTCACCGTCCTTTGTGTGTTAAAGTCACATGCTCAGTTTAGTACTTTTGTTGCAGTTAACAAACAGAAAATGCATCCTGTTTCACTTAATGCGAAAGTGTGAGTCTTAAACAGCCCGTATGATTACTTTTACAGCGGACATTATGGGCCTAGTGTGGCTCACACGTTCCTCGATTGCTTATTTTTTAGGTAGAATCGATCGTTTTTCTTCAAAGCTGACTTATCTACATTCAATTTCGTCTTGATATTCATGCCCCTTTATTATTCGGAGTAAAGTTTGCTACAAACTATAAACTAGGACAGTTTCTAGCGTTTATGCGCTTTTATGGGCTGTTCTATAGAACTTTTGGAATGTGTATCTTCGTTGACTTTTTCAAGAGATTCAGTTGAGTGCCGTGCATTTTTCATTTTCACATGACCCGATATCACATATTCTGCAAATCTTAGCCCTTCTTTGAATTCACTTCTTTTTCTGGCATTTATATTGCACGAAACTTTCAGGTTTAGTCGGTGCGTTCGTCTGCTGGTTAAGAATTTTCTTTTTTCCTACGAATGTCGTTGCTTGCTGGTTGAGTCCATGTACTTTAGGCTTTTGTTAGTTTCGCACGGATATTGCATACGCCTTCTCCACTACTTATTTTATAAAGTTTTACATTTAGTCAAAAATTTTTTTGGTTTCATTTTAAAACAATCTAAGCTGGGCTGGCTAAACGTGTGCAAGGAAAGATGCAATTTACAGTTGCTGGTTCCTGTAACAAATGTAAAGTAGGACGTATTAGATCGTTTATGTCCGTGGACTTATTTACTTTCTTGGGTACTTGGATGGTCCATCTTCACTGGTTATGCGGACCTTAGCATAATTTCCACGTTTTCGGAGTTTTGCTGACTTAGCTATTGTAGTTCCCTTGAGCCTCGAAGTTAGCCAAACCAAGGTCTACCCCAGGCAGTCACCACCACATGCAGTTGCCGCCCTTGTGGATCAGAGGGAGATTTGCCATCATGCGACTTGTTTGATACAAGAACGGTAGTGGATCCTGGTATTTGTTTGCTCTTAGCTGGGCTTCCTATTGGAAACGCCAGACTCCCCAGCTTGGGAAACCTTGCTGGGTGGATGAATCCCTCCGCCACACATCGCAGCCCTACACCCAGCAACATCTCCCAGCCATGACCAGGCGGTAAACCGTTGGGAGGTGTTCATGGGCTGCTCTATTTAAGTGTGACTTTCGCTCACATTTCGCTTTGAGTTGGTAGAAGGACGCGGTGAACACGGTAGTATGGTTTCCTTTTTGTTATTTTGGCCACTCACACTTTTCGATTCAATTTCTTTCTATTTTCTCCTCCAGTTGTATTATCTTTAGCTTCTGTAGAATTACCAAGTTAATGTGTAGTTTTCTACTGCTTGTTCACATGTCAATCAAATTGACGCTATTTTGGAATAATTTTTCAGTCCAACGGCATACCCACGTGCCTATTCGTTTTTTTTTATACAACCTGTATTTGTATTTACTTCACGGTTCCCAACGATTCTATTCGTCCCGTGTCCCCACATGCTCAAGCCGTGAAGGTCTTATTCATTGCATGTGTACTCAGCTGCTGCTTGAGTCCATGAAACAAGTCGCTTGGCGGCAAATCTCCCCTTCATCTGCAGGAGCGGCGAATCTCTCTGGTTCACAGGGGCTATAACTGCCTGTGGTGGTGACGATCTAGGGTAGACTTTGGCCACGTTGTCCTCGGGACTCCAGAGAACCACAATGGATAAACCAGCAAGTCTGCGGAGAATGGAAATTATGCTGGGTCCCGTAAAACCAGTGAAGACGGGCCATCCAAGTATCCAAGTAAAGAAGCTTTTTTCTTTCGTTTTTTTTTTGTGACTTTGAGACTTCTATCTCTAACAGGAAGGTGTTGAACAAGCGGAATTTCGTCCAGCAGAACATGATTATGTTATCGAATCCGTCTATACTTTTGGCTGCTGCTATTGTTTTGATTTTAGATTCATATTTTGTAACAGAAATTTTATCTAATTATTGGAAAACCATCGAATTGGACCGAAAAATTCTGTGTCATAAGTGCGCCAGGAAGTGAAGATTGATCATTAACGTGTTGAAAAGCGAAACTGAAGTGTCCCACCTTTTATGCTGAATTGTCACCGTAAAGATCCGCTTTCTGAGTTTCGGATTATGTTTTGTTAGCCAACATTATTATAACTAGGCAGTAACGCAGCTTCATAAAGTTATAATAACGTACTAACATTTAATATCCAATCAATGATTGCTTGGAAATAAAATTAATATCCTTGTTCAGTGGGAAGAGGACAATGGGGTGGGCTTCTGCCATTCACCGTGGTAGGTCGATACTTATTGTTTTGTGAAGTGTAAATACCGAACACTGTTCTAACTTTTAGTTTATGCCTATTCCTTTTCCATGACACGGTATGATGAATACGACCACAGGCATGCCAAAATATGAGCAAAACCCGGGCCTCTGACGGGCTTCCAGCTCACGATTACCCACCCTTATCTGGGGCTCGCGTGCTATCGACCATACCAACCGATGCATTTGATTTGTCTTTCCATATTTGACACACTTGATACTTGAATGGCCCGTCCTCAGTGGTTGTGCGAACCCAGCATAATCTCCATTTTTCGGAGACTTGCTACTTAAGCCGTTTTGGTTCCCTGTAATCCTGAGGTCAGCCTGGTCAAAGTCTACCCCAAGTCTTCACCACCACAGGCAGTCGCAGCTGTTATGGATCAGAAGGAGATTCGCCACCAGGCGACTTTGATACCGGGACGGTGGTGAATCCTGGTATTGGTTTACTCTCAGCTAGGTTTCCCGATTGAAACGCTGGACTCCTCAGCTTGGGAGACTTTGCCAGGGGATGATTCCTCGCTGTACATCGTACTCCGACACCCAGGAACACCTCCAAGCCACGATGAGGCCGTAAACCGTTAGGAGGTCTTTCCAAAAGCCACGTTTATTACCCTGTCGGTGCTAACAGCAGTCACCGTTCGACGGGAGTGATCTGGGGAGCATACAATAGCATTGAACCCAGCTAAGCTGATGCTACACTTGGTCATATACCGATTTTCCTCCTCAGATCGTTGCCGTCGACAATAATTCCTGATATTATCGCTGGGGTGAAAAATATGGCTGAGAGAAAGCTAACATAAGGGCCTCGGTTGGCGTAGGGCACAAGAGCCTCCGGTGGGGGGTGATCGAACATTCGAAGCCCACCCAGGGCTTCGAATTTTGCTCATATCACGTTGTGGTTTTGCACAAATTTACTTCCATTCATAACTTTATGAACCTAATCTATCTCTCTGTTTGTCTCGTAGAAGGTTTAAAGCATGAGTGCTAGAAATTCTATCTCTTCTGCATGCATGTTTCCTTATGTCAGCTTAGCGACATGAAAGTTAAATTCATGAGACTTATTTCAGAGCAGCAGTGATCCGGTAGCGGGCATAACGAACACCCGATTGGTTTCAGTTTCGACACCTCTTACTTCTTAATGTTGCAGTGTTTGCTTGGATCATCTTTAGTAGCGAATTATACTAGGCATATGACTGCAGTGTAATCTTGTTTTCTGATGTTGAAGGTTAAAGCGTGACGTATTCGAGGAGGTCAACGGCTAACATTGTTTAATTTTGTCGTCGTTTTAGTTTGTACCTTACTATTATAACGGTATTTGTACATACTAGGCTTACTTGGGATTTAGAAGATTTGCAATAAGTTTTCTTTTACCTCATCTACTGCGTGTTTACAGTGTGCCATGAAATAAAGTGTCTTCCTCATTTTAGTCAGTATCGCACTTATTGTCGCTTTACAGCAATACTGGTGAATTGTACAGCGTTCTTGTCTTTCGAAAAGGTTAAACTGGTATTTTAGCTTTTTACCTAGAATGTCTGTGTACGAATCGTTGTAGTTAAGATGTCAGAGGAATGGGTAAGGCATTAGTTAAGAGGTCTCAGTTTCTTTTCTTTACTGTCCATCACATTTCTAGTTTGGTTGTTTCAAGGGTATGGTACAAGTAGCTGCGCTTCGTTCAGGACCTAATGAGAAGCAGTTTTCTGGACAGTTACCCGGTGAACGCATAGAAGTTATTGGTGAGGAGGTTTATAGTCGCGATGACTAGTGTCTTTATAGAATTTAAATAAGATTTTATAATATGTTGTTGGATTCGCTGTTATCTCGTTTGTCCAGTCTTGACTCCAACTGTTTACTGACTCATCATTGCTGGGAGGTGTTTCTGGGTGTCAGGCTGCGATGTACAGCGGTGGGGTTCATCCCCACGGCTGGGCCTCCCGGGCTGAGAAGGAGTTCAACGTTTTCACCAGGAAGCCCAGCTAAGAGTAATCCACCACCGGCCTGGTACTAAACTAGTTGCATGGTAGGAAATCCCTCTCTAATCAACGAGGTCGGCGAATGCCTGTGGTGGTGACTACCTGGGGCAGATTTTGGCCTGGGGACTGGCCGACCTCGGGACTCCAGCGAACCACAGTAGCTAAACCAACAAATCTCTGAAAAAGTGGAAATTGTGGTGAGGATCGCACAGCCAGTGAAAACGAGCCATCCAAGCATCCAAGTAAGTAAGTATCCAGTCCTGATTTTATCAATCATGAAGTCTACATCAAACTCAGTTAAGTATAATTTCTATGATTATTTATCAAAACAGATCGTAACATTGGCTATCTTTCCCCTATTGGTAAAATCGCAGGACGAGTGTTGATCACAAGGTATCGATTGAGATTTGAAGCAAGTGATGGTGTGAGTAGATTCTGCAGTCCTTTCTAAAGTGGGCCATAATATTATATGTTGCATGTTGCAGGTGTGTCAGTTTGACGTACCTCTTGGATGTATTTCTAAAGTTGAAAAAGTTGGGCATTCCACAGTAAGTCGTAGTGAACATTCGTATGGCGTTCTGATTGAATGCAAGGTTAGATCACACGCATTTGCTGAATG